AATCTGTGTGAATCTGACAGAAGATGCCCGTAGCTATCAGTAATCACTATTCACCCTCTAGCACAAGTCATACAAGAATTTTCATCTCTTTAAACCGAAAACACATCTATAATGTAGACCAACTTGGTACGGCTTATTAATTACAGACTTTGTAATGCTTCATTTTATTTACAAGGGACTAAATACAGATTTATCAAAATATGGGGGGGGGGACTACTTTTGCAATTTGCCCTGTACATGTAAACAAGTGTCTGTGCTCATACCAAAACTTGCAAATATCTCTTACTCCGTATTCTTTAAGATGCCGAGCTGAGGGCAAAGAAACTTGCTTTATTACAACCTTTTTCTCCTTTATAAGTAGTGCATGATTCATAAAGGGGCTATGATTCTACAAGCTTTTTGTTAGCTAGCGTAGGGGTTCACTTGTGTCATACAACAATGTCTTCACCGTCACATTCTTCTTCAACTTGTTCTTTCTGGAGTACTTTACTGCATTCCTTCTTGCTCTTGGCTTGGTTCTGTTCTTCTGCATTTCTTCAAGTTTCGAACGCTGCAAGTCCTAGTGTCAATGTCGCCAATGTCTCCCAGGTGGAGGATGCTGCATACTTTCATCTATATTATGGCAACAGTTTCAAAGTCATCAAGAACGGATTAGATGGCCAGAGTTATCTTCTCATTCAGGTGATTAAAGTCCTCATTGCAATGTATCATTTGCTCTTTTATGATGCCAAATTATATTCACTAAAACCATGAAAGATATACCATTTCTTCCTGATTGGTATAATGGAAAATAAATAGGTACTCATTAATTACTTGCTGATTGAACATTAATTTTTTTTTTCCTGAAAAAGAAAATTTCCATATTGATATATGGAATCGAGTTGTCTTGCATCCTGATTGTTAGCTGAAAGGATTGGTGCAGCAGCAATCGGCCGTAACCTTTATCGCTTCTACAAGTTGTGGACCTCTAGTTGTTGATGGGAAGGCTTGCGATATCACGGTTCAATGGCTGTCTCTTTCAAATAATGAAATGAAACACCATGTCAAAATTGTCAACCTTCTTTTTTTTGGCTTTTTTCCCCCTTTTCTCTTATTTTGCACATTTTCACATATCAATCTTTCTTTAAATTTGATAATTAAATTGCGTATGACACCACTTCTGAGTTCTACTAATAAATCGAAGTATGCATCTTTTTTAAAAAATGGATGGGGGTAGTACTTCATTTCTTCCCTAGCAAATGATACAATACAACACTTATAAAATAACTTATTCGAACAATAAAACTACATTTTATTTTTATTACTTGGTTTGGAGTTTACTGAAAGAAAAAATAAAAGGTGCCCAAAAGAAAAGGGAAAAAAAAAGAAATAAGCTTTTGTTCTCTATGTGTGAAACCATTGCAATTTGTTCCATTAAAGACCATTCGGTTTAAACAAGGAGTTATCAGTAATTTGCCCTTGAATTATTTGCTTGCTATTGGGGTTTTTCTGCTTCGAATTTATCGTACGTTGTCTCCTGCATAATTCTTACATGATTGCCTGCAGAAAAATACAAGGATGGCAGCTAGAACAAAATATTGCACGCCCAGAATAAGATCATTCATCATCCCATTGTCAAACTATTCAGTCGATACTGTACTTTTTCCAGGTATAATCGACACTGACAATGTTTTTTTTTTTTTTTAATTCTTTCTTTTTGTAAGTTTATTACTTGCTTGTCATTTGTTTCTGAAAGTCTCATTTCTTGTTTTCCTAATTTACAGTTTCTTTCTTTGAGGTGAGGCCCGCATGCTTTCGTAAGTCATTTTTGAAGTACATGTTCCCATTTGGTTGATTTGCCCTTTCCATCTTTTTAGACAAACTTGATCAATTTTAATTTCAGTAAATATCAAAAATAACTGATCTTTTTCTTTTTTTTTTTTGTTTTTGGTAACTTGTCAAAATTCTCCAGTTGCTTCACAATGAGTATAAGGTTTGAATTGCATAATTTTAGACGTCAATGTATAATTTTTTTGAGCTTGCTAATGACTAACAGCTATCCATGCCCACAGCTTCTTGGTGTACTAGGTAATTTGAAGGGTATAACATCAGACTTGGTAGCTTCACCGTGTGTACTGAAATTACATAGTGAGGGACAAGTTGGGGTGGTTAACAAGACAGAGCCAGGGCAGCTTTCTCAATTTGCAGCTTATTTCATAAGTGATACTGACCAAACACAATCCTGCAACTATGCAACATTTGTCCCACTTGTTGAAGATGCACCTCTACAGGTTAGTTTCAAAATTTTTATTTTTCATTTTTTGCGTTCTAAGATATGCTAGTAGGAGTACTTTTAGCATTGGCCATGATCCCAGTTTAAATTTCACATCTTTAGATGCCAGGCACAAGCAAAAGAATGGAGATTCCATAAACATGTCTGTGATCACAAAGTTAATCTAGTCACATTGCTATTAAGCACCATGTCTAAAACTCTGTCCGATGGACCGTAGATTGTATGCTTTCAACCTGCCTGTTGTGGCATTTAAGTTAACTTTTCATTTCAGTGCTTTATCACAATCTCATCCTGTTATTGCAAACTTGAAACATTCTTCGTCTCAGAGGGCAGAATGGATCAAGTACTTGGGAGTTTTTTCAAATCTTGAAACAAGAGCAAATCAGGTCTACGATATGGTCAGTGAGAAAGTGTCAGTTTCCTGCGTTAGTCCTGTTTTATGCAAGCAACACCCTCATGTAAGAGGCAACACCTCACAGAAAGAGCTTTTATATTGCAGATTAAAGAGAACTACATATGTTTGAGTAGAGCAGCAGCTAATAAGACTGCATCCTTCAAACCTACAGTTGCTTGGATGGAGTTCAATGATGTGTGTATCGTTGAAATTAAATTCAGCACTTTAATTTTTCAAGCATCCCAGTCCTCTGATTGATGGGATTTGAACATTTTCATAACCATTTCTCTTGTGAAACTCTTTTCTTCAAATTGTTAACACACCTCTGGCCTATTTTCCAGGGTGTCTGGTCATTCACAAAGGAGACATACAAGTTAAAGGTATTCACCATTCCAGCAAACTTCAAAAATTTGCTCAAGTAAATTTGCTCAAGTATGTTCTATTGGCACTCCGCTTTTACTCTTCAATGGTCAGGGTCTGCTAAAATCTTTTGTTGTTATGGGTATCATTCTTCGAACTCTTGCACTTATTTTGGTAGTAAAGTTGCAAACTACAGTTGCTTGAAACATTAGAAGTTATAATTTATGTGCTCCCATGAGAAACAACATTTTTGGAATATTATAGAATACTATTGTTCTAAAGTATCGAGAACCGTCTGATGCAAATTTTCATTTGGATACCATAATGAAGTAATTGTTGTCCACAGACGTAACTGATGTACAATTTAATTGTATTCTAATTGGCATAATCATTCCTCTTCTCATTAATGGTCTGAGGGAGGCTTCCTGATCTCCCTCTTAGATGATTTTTTTTCCATTCTTTTTCCATTCTTTTTCCTGTAAAGGCCTAACTGTTCATATTCGAATCCCCGATGCAGTATGTTGAGGATGCTGGAGGAGCAAATATTGATGATTCCATCAACAAAGTGACATATAACATTTCCATACCAGATGACTTGGAGGAGTTTTACGCCATTTTGTGTGTAAGTCTGGCTAAAATCTAGTCAGATTGGAACTTGAATGCACCTTATTGATTTTGATTATATGTTTAGTAAGCCATATAATCTGAGTCAATCTAGGTTAAATTGTATCATTTTTCCTGATAATATCATCATCCATGATGAGGATATATTTCACAAACAAAGAAATGAGAGGAAATATATATATATATATATATATATATATATATATATATATATATATGTGGTCTACTCGTGCTTATGTTTTTTGATTCTACATCATATGCAGACTGTCGATGTGGTGATTGATGAAACCTATGTTCCTGATCCGGATGCTTATATGCTCTCGACCTTCCTCCAAAACACAAATTTGGAAGATAAGTCTTGCTTTGCATTTCTTGCAAATCAAAGCTTGTGGAGGTTCGACAAAAGAATTCAAAAATCAAGTGTTCTTGGTGAGCAGGGCTTCTCATTGCTTTTCCTTAATTCTGACTCCAAAATAAAAAATAAAAACTGCCTGGCATAGATTTTTTAACTGGAATGTGCTTGGATATTTCTACTTTGATGTTATTTCAAAAAACTGGATCACACATCTAATTTGCAGTACATGACATTCGTAGATAAATGTTCCAGAGAATTGTTACAGGAGATGAATCATGCTGTGTGCCATGGCCTGATAATTCTCTCTCTCTCTTTTTTTTTTTCTGGTTCTTGGGTCTATTTTTTATTTCTCCAGTGCAGGACTGGTATGATGGAGCCGTCTCTCAACCTCAATTGGTCCTAGCAGATTTAATTGAAGCTTTATCTCCATCCGGGAATTACACGACAACTTATATCAGAAATGTTGCTAAGGTAGGGTATTTTGTGGTGTACAAGATGGTAGAGTGCAAATCTAGGAGAATCTTACTAGTTCATATAATTTTAACACGACAACTTACTAGTTCGTATAATTTTAATTTAAATGTCATTACATGACGCAGGGTGAAGGAGTTATTAACATCAGTCCTGACATGTGCCAGAGGGAAAGTTCAACTGCTATGGATCCTGTAGTTATACCTTGCTAGAATAGTTAATTTGACAAATTCTATCCGTCCCTCTTGAATGATTTACATCAAGAATCAGTTAAAATCGCTAAACAGAAGCATGCATGCAAGTTAAAATGGCTGAATGATTACAGAAGCATGCAATTAACTTTTGGGATATGATTTCTGTTCACCTGCTAATTCGAATTCAGTTGAAGGCATCAAAAGTGAACCTGCTAAACAGCAATGATCAGTTTGACAGCCATCTTCAAGTATCCCAATTCCCAATTGTCCCACTGGGCTTGGGGGTAGCTACTAGCTACTGTTAATGTGCATCATCTATTCACATTTCTCCTACTCTGAGTTCAGTAACTGCGAGCAAGGAAAGCATGATTGAGAACAGTTTCTCATTTTGATCCCACAATCAACGCATGATAGCTTTATTTTCAGGTGGCTTTTTAATAATGGTATTAGTACTTCGAAAAACTATTAGAAACATGAGAGCTGGCATGAAAATTACCCCATGTTAGTCATCTCTTTCTTCTACCTTGCACAAGTCTTGTTGGATTACAATCTTTGAGTACATGAGGAAGAAAAAATTGATTCTTGTTGCATTCCCTTCTCTTGCCGTAGTCCTCTTCATCTTCATCATCTTCTTCAGTATCCGCTTAAAGTCCCCTTCTTCAACTGCAACAAAAAGTATCATTATACTGCAGGACACATCCCATCTAGAGTCGCAGTTCACCCTTTTGATAGGAATTCTTACTCGTCCAGACAATTATGAACGTCGCCATTTCCTCCGCCTCATCTACGGGATTCAATCCTCTCCCATAGCCAAGATTGATGTGAAGTTCGTATTCTGCAAACTCACCAAGCCCGAACAAAGAACTTACGTTGCTCTTGAGATCATGCGCTTTCGCGACATTATCATCCTTAATTGTACCGAGAACATGAACAGTGGAAAAACTTATGCTTATTTCTCTAGCCTACCAAGAATCTTGCCACGGCATTATGACTATGTCATGAAAGCCGATGATGATGTTTTCTTGAGGCTTGTGCCGTTGGCATTGTCTCTCCAGCCATTACCAAGATCAGATATGTATTATGGATTCGTCATTCCTTGTCCAAGCATGAACCCGTTTGTGCATTACATGTCAGGAATGGGATTTATTCTGTCTTGGGACCTTGTCCAGTGGATCGCAGTTTCCGACATTCCTGCAAATGATACCTTTGGTCCTGAAGATAAGCTTGTTGGAAAATGGCTGGATATGGGGAAAAAGGCAACGAACAGGTTTTCTAATAAGCCAGCAATGTATGACTATCCAGGAACTAATAGCAGGTGCTCACATGATCTCATTCCTGACACCATTGCAGTTCACCGGCTAAAAAAGTGGGAACAATGGTTTCACGTGCTCAGTTTCTTTAATGTAACTGAAGAGCTAGCTTGAAAAATCCAATCTTTACAGTGTATGATTTGATTGTTTTGCTATAAATCTAAATAATACCAGTTTCAGAATCTGGCATATTTTTAAGGCTTTATTCGAAAGTGAAAGGTAGTCATAATCACAGTTTCCATGCTACTGTTTCAGATTCTGATGCTTAAGCTCATTGATAGATAAAAAGCAGAGATGCAATTATCAATTCCGGAGGACAGTGCCAAAATTATGTAGTTATACAGAGCTAAGCAGTAATACGTTCCTAAGATCAAAACAAGATCTGGTTAGCACCAAATTAAGATAAAAGCCTATGCCCCATGACCTTGGCCAGCGTGAAAAGAGCTGACCTAAGTCACAAGCTAGGCCAATGCAGAAGAAAAAGGATTTGCATCAAACATATCAATACATGATTTTATCTGAATCAATAGAATAATTTGTCAGCAATTGCTTTACACAGGATTCATCTCACCCTTTACATCTGTCATCCTTCTTTATACTTTGCATAAAAAAGTAATAAATAAATAAACAAAATAAGTAATGATAACAATTGACAAATTTAGCAGACTGTGGGGACTAGAGTAGTAGGAGTCCAATCCCGGCCAAGTTGCTATTCTTCAAGCTCCAAACAACCTGGAAGTTGAGTCAAATCCATAAGGTGTTTACCTCCGAGAAAATATCGACAACAAGATATAGCCAGATTGATGGTCCTACCTTTGCAGCCTGGATTGTGAGCGCCTGCAGCCAAATTGAGAATTACGTTAGTCTCTATTTGTCAGCAAATTTGTACTCTTATCTCGCAAAAAAATATGAAATCTGTTGTGTTCAAACTAAGCACTGGTGGCACTACTGAAGTTTTTCTTGTACCACACTAAGTAATTTTTTTTTCTCTTTTCTTCTGTTTTAGGCTTGCTTCTAATTTCTACCACCTATGTTCCTGATTTTTCCATGCGACAGAAGTACATATATCCATTCAACAAGCAGATGTTCAATTTCTATTTGTTTTTCAACTATCCAAAATTTCTAATCTTGCCAGCTTAGTATTGTCCATAACTCATTTCACAGCCTGACATTTTCATTTTCATCTTTTCATGCCACCCTTTGTTGGAGAAACTAGTGGATGGAATGCTATTAAATAAAACATGCAAATGAAAAACCTTTTGAAGATCCTAGCAGCTATTATTTTGTTCAAGACTCTCACAGGAAATGAAAGAGTTGGCGACAGCATTCATGCCTTTTCAAGGGCTGGGGCTTAGGTTTCTCCTTTGTCTCTGGCTTTGGAGTTTCATCCCTTCTTGCAGCAACATTTTTTGCCTGTGACATTGTCATTGAAAAATTAATCAACAATTCACTTCAAGAAAGTATAGCTAGTTATAATTTAGTATGGTACTACCAAGTTCCTGAATTGAAGATTGTAGAAAGTCTGGATATATCTTTGCTTTGCTATTTTCTGATCAATGTTCAGCTGCCTCCAGAAGTTATATACACACCCCATATTCAGGACCTTGTTTGCATAGATCTTCCATGTGTAGCTGCAACAAAAACCAGCAAAAGTGATCTTTCTTAATTTTACTGAGGTAATCAGAATGAAAATCTCTAAAATGGGCCAAATGAGGATTGTCATTTTGCATCATCATCATCAGCACAAATTCTGTAATGGCTATGGGAAAGTGAGATAAAGAAGAACTTGTAATGCAGTTTATTTTAGCTTTGTTCTGGTACCATTCGTATATACGCTGTAGACCTTGGGCTGAAATCCTGTTCCAGTATTCAGGATCCTCCTTGCATTTCTGAAAGAAGTCAGCGATCTTGTTGCTTGACTCATCTCCATGGTTGGGATCAATGTGAAAACCAGAGACCCCATCAACTATGATTTCAGCAGGACCTCCTTGGTTGGTTGCAAACGTGGGCAGTCCACAATTCATAGCCTCAATCACGGTAAGGCCAAATGCTTCATATAAAGCAGGCTGGACAAAAGCCCCTCTTGTATCAGCAATAGTGCGGTAAAGCTCACTGTTCCTGTTCCTGTCAGTCTGAGCTGCTATCCACCTTATCTGACCCCTCAGTTGGTACTTTTCTATCAACGTGTGCATCTTTTGTATTTCAGCTGCTTCTTCCCTATCTTTGGATTTTGAAGGATCAAAAAATGCACCAACAATGACAAGATTAACCAAGTTTCTCAGCCTCTTGTTCTTTCCATACCACTCCGTTAATCCAGTTAGATTCTTGACTATGTCGAGCCTTGCCATGGAGAAAATGATAGGTTTCTTTTTGTCTTCTAGGTATCCACTGCTTATGGAACAAGTCAGAGAAAACAAAGATGTTAGAACTTCAGGCAGCTTTTCACTTTCGCAAACTTACGGACATCTGGAAGTTTATACTTACATATGCTCATCATTTTCAGCTTTACTAAACAAAAGTTCTTCAATGGCTTGACGGAATTGTGTTAGTCTCTTGTGCTTCTCAGTATGGGGGAAATAGACTGACTGGTCAGCTCCAGGAGAAGCAATGTTATATTTAGGATCAAAGACATTGGTGCCTGAAACAACCCTGTAGAGCCCCGGAAGTGTAAAAGCAGCATGGCTCTCGTACTGGCCTGCTCTATCTTTGCTGCAAATCATGGAAAACTTAAAATATTAATAGCAATTCACTGCGTTTAGTTGATTATTTGCTGTTATGTACTTCCCAATGGCATTTTTTTCACCAACAGTTTTTGAGGACTTTATTTTACAACGTAGGAAAAGCCTAGTCACATGAAAGCACGAAATGCACCAGGAGTAAATAACCAGGTACGCAGGCAAACATGCAGAAGCTTCAATAACATTGTGTATTAAAGAGCTTCAATTTCTTACCTTCCTGCTATTTCTTGGTATGTGCTTGTGATGACAAAATCAGCCGTGTTCATTGCAATTAAATCAGCTGTAAATTGGCATGAGAAATGATACTTGGGGTCTAATTCCTTCCATTTGACGTCGGAATCTTCATACTTCGTTTTCTCCAAGGCATGTGCAATTGTTCCCTAGACCAAAATTCACTACATTATTAAACTCATCTTTTCAATCTGAGTTCTTGGTGCTTTGAACCCTTTTAAACAGGTAAAGTCCAAAGAAATAAAAACATACCAGTGTTACCCCAAGCTTACTAGCCATGAGTGATGCCACCAAATTTCCATCAGTATAGTTGCCAATAATAAGATCTGGTTTTCCTTCCATTAGTTCAATGATTTTGTCGCTGGCGTCCTATTAGAAAGTGAAAATGTGTCCATAAACCAATAAGTTGCTCAAGAGAGTAGCAACAAATACCAGAATTCATTCCCAGGACATACCTGAGCATATCTCTCAAGGTAAGGATAAACATCAAATCTAGAAATCCACTGGGGAAGGACTCCATTTTCTGTCCTAAATGGCACTCTGAGGATGTGTGAGTGCTTTGTTTTGTTTATTGGTTCTAATTCCTGGTTGCACTTAGTTCCCTTGGCATCAGGGATCAACCTTGTAACCTGCATCACAAGGATATACTTGACTTGATGATTGCCTGCCATTCATAGCCATTACAACTTTTACTCATGCAGGGAACTTACCACAAGAATTTGAGGCTTCACATTGAGACCTTGCTGCTTAATTCTTAGGAGCAATTCTTCTTCTAAAGACACCACTTGATCCAAAACATAGACCACCTGTTATTGGATAACAGCAAATTTTAGCTCAATTTGTATCAATTTACCGTTTTGTTCAGTCACTAGATTACAGAATGTGTACCTGTCCGCCAGTGTCTGGCAGGCCAAGGACATCTGATTGGCCAAAGTATCCATGGACAGAAAACAGTACAACATTGAACACTGTTGGAAGCCTGCCTAAGAATTTCTCCGTATTGAAGGGATCCGGAGCCTGAAGTACCTCAGACGCTGATCGCATTGTCTCCTTAACTCTTTCAGCAGTATCGCCCCAGCCCCTCTCAAACCCCCATTCCTTGAACCTGTAAAAGATGATATTGTGTCTTATTCCACTTTCCAATTTTTGTTAGCAAATGAAGGAAATGGAGAAAAAACTATCTGATTGACCTTAGCTCAAAGCTCTGATATGGCGTATCCTTTGGTAGTGAAGCAAGGGCAGCATCAGCAACTATCAATGCTGACTGAAGCTTTGAAGCTGTATTGATGGTCTCGTTTAACATAAGTTTCTGAAAATTCAATGAGAAAAACGCTAATTAATATAAATTCATGATTTGACTGATCAATTTACGTTCTTTATCATTTTATTTATTTATTATTCAGATTCCTGTTTCCATACTTCTCCTTGGTAGTTTAAGGAGAGCAAATAATCCACAAGAGGTTGTGCACTGCATGGGCTACCATTCAGCTTGGAAGCCAAAAACTTTGAAACATAGGTGACTCCATTTCCAATCGAAGAAGATAGAGTCAGGTGAGGTATAGAGTAGTCCATTGCTCCAAAATCAAGTTCTAAGGCGTTTTCATCATTTGCCCTGCATTTCAGAGAAAATTAACCGGATCTGATTGGATTCTGTGCGTAAACACATCATATTGCAATATACTACAAAATGGATATCTTTCGCTTGATCTTCAAAGGATATAGCATACCATAGTTTTCGACTTGCTCTCCATGTGACAAAACATAAATACGAAAAGGTATAACATAGCTTGGAGGTAAAAAATTACTGAAATAGACTAAACTGGTATATTAATTCTTGATCGTCTTGGGGAAGGACAATATTACATTTATAAATAGCTGGAAAAGAAATGCAGTTTTACCAATTTTCATCAACCACTGTTTCTTTGAATTTCAAGTAGTCTGTTGCGGTGATGCCATCCACCGAAAGATCATTTGCATTCACTTTAACGAACTCCCAAAATCCTGGATTTGGCCTTATCGCAAAGGCAACATATGGAGGAATAACTGCAGCCTCCTGGAAAGTGCACAGAGAATAGAAGTATGATTAAATTGTGTCCCATGCAGTAATATGCAGCCCTGCATGTTCAAAACACTAAGGCAAAACAATGCAGTTCAAATTGCAATCAAACTGATACCTTTGTGGTGCACAAGATATATCCAAGTAAGCCTTCCAACACTTGGCTTCTTTCAGTATGATCATCAATGATTTGCTCCAATTCATCCATCAATTGGTTAGCCTTCAATAATCGCCTCCCTTTCTCTACATACTTCGAGAAGCACCTCTTCATATGGTACCTACTTTGCCTCAAGGCCTCAGGCATGGTGTCTACTACAGAATCAGACCTCTTTAGAGCAGGTACAGAAGCCATTTTACCGGTTTGAAGGAGTGATATACAGATTGTTCAAGAAAAGAACTTTTTTCGTGGGTCATGCTGAGATTTTTCTGGGCATTTTATAGAAGAATGGTGTCAACTATGTACGTGGTTGAGAGGTAGAGTCGATCAGGATGTCAGTCTGGCAAGCAAAGTGGGGTGTGGAGAGAAAGAGGAGAAAGAACATTCTTTCTAGCAGAAAATAGATAAAGAAAAGAATGTTCGTGGCATTAGTTTTTCAAGGGAGATTCGTAATTGGAGGCAAAGGAAATCTTTTGTCTAACCTTTAGGGACTGGTTTTAGCATCTTTCTTCCTTCCAATATGAACATAGCCTTTCGTATTGGAATCATGCGGGCCAAAAAGGAACTGAACCGAAATGGGATATGTCGTATGTTGCTCCCAGACAAAGCAATATGGTTCTTGTTTCCCTGTGAAATTGTTACTTAAAAGGGCCATGGCACTTTGCCTGTGTTTTACACCTTTTTTTTTCCTTTCCCATCTCATAGATTTCTTGTTACTTTCGGAGAACCACCCTCTAAAAAATAAGTTACTGGTACCGTAACCTACTAAGCCAGAATTTAGCTCAATGGTAAGCTATCTTTGAATGGTTAATGCTAACAATTAGCTGAAAAGAAATCATAATTCCAAAATGACCACCTGTACTGGACAATATCTTCAAGTTCCAAACTCAAATAAACCACACCTCATTGCCGAGCTAACCCATATAACTCGAGTCAGAAGTCATCATTCCATTGAATCAAATGATCTACGTTCTTTTCTTGTGCATATTATTATGCAATTCCAGTACAATTACGGGATCCAAACCATCGTGGATTGTCGATCTTTATATTCATTATCTTCCTAAAAGAAAAAATCGATTCTCTAATAAACGAGCCATAAGCATGCAAAATGGATACAATATCACTTTTACTAATCATGCAGCTGCAGTTTCACGGACGACAATTGGATTTTCGTAAATCACCTTGATTTAGAATTAATAAAGAACAGAACTAATTAGTTTTATATTTTGTAGATGTGGCAAGATTCTAAACCATGGTTCAAATTATCAATGGAGATGTGAATCTCACATTTCATCCTCTCTCTCTCTATATATATATATAACTTGCGAATATAGTCTAGAACAAATTATCTGTATGGCCACTGAACTTTCGGAATCGTTAAGTTTTGGCCAATAAATTATTAACAGTTTGATTTTGACAATTAAACTATCTAAAGTTTAGATTTCGGGTCATTCTATAAGATTTAGTCGTTAACTATGTTGCTTTCTTTTGTCTTGTGAATCGTGCGAGCATTTATATCTGTCATATTTAACAATTAAATCTAATGAGATGACTTGAAATCTAAACTTTAAATAGTTTAATAGTCAAAAATAGACTTTTAATAGTTTAATGGTCAAAATTTGATCATTCCAAAATCCCGTGACCATCCAAATAATTTGCTCTATAGACCGTACTTATTTCCATAACAAAATATGTGAGAATGTGGAGTTCTTTTTTTTTTTTTTTTTTGTCGTAGAGAATGTGGAGTCCTCTCAATTGCTAAATTTAGCGTTCGAAGTCTGAATCGAAGGTGAGAGATAAAAAATTCTACAGTGTAATTAGCGTAACACAGGGTTAAAAAAAAATTTTTTTTTCCTGCCTCGAGAGAAGCATGCCGAACTCACGGGAGAGAAGACGGTCTTGGGCACGTGACACCGCATGCCATCACCAACATAAATTCACCCTAAATAATGATCTGTGTTAGGGTTTTCCAAAACCCTACCACAGCTGGCCTCCTCTGCAGCAGCCTCCTTTCTCACCCTGCTTTCTCTATAAAAGATGACCACCAAATCTGATTCCTCTCCGTCTTCTCCTCAATCTGCACGCACACACACACACACTCTGTCTCTCTCTCTCTCTCTCTCACCCACACTCTGTCTCTCTCTCTCTCTAAAACACTTTCTCTCTCACATGTATACATGCCCGCATACACACTTTTTGGCACAGTATTACTTGTGCTAATGGTGTGCGTCGAATACTGATTACCAGCGCTGGTTTATGAAACATGAACGTTGCGTATGAGCCGACGCCATATTCATACGTTACACTTCTCCAATTCTGCTTTCGATTTTTCAAAGCTCTTTCGGAGAGCTTGTTCTCATCAGATCTGGAGAAATATTCTATTTTTTTAAAGTTTTTTTTTTAAATTTTGGTTTCAAACAATATAGTGAAGGAGATGGAAGTGATGATTTTTTCCCCAGATGATCGAAACTGAAATTATCGAGCGCTTTATTTGTATTTTCTCCAGTTTTCTGGAGATAATCCAAGCCAGATTTGTCTGATCCATCTCCTCCTATCAAATTTCTCATCCACTTTTTTTAATATGCTTTTCATTGAAAAGCCTATAGCTTTTTTTCTTGTTTTTCTCAAAAGAAAGTTTAGAGGCATCGGAATGGAATTCCAGTACATTTGTTTCTTTTCGGATATCTATGCAACAGATGAATGTACTATGGACAAAAAATGGATGTGATGATTATTTCCCCAGATGATCGAAGCTGATTATACTGTGCTACCATTAAATTTCTCTTTTTCGAGAAATCAAGCCAGAAATCTGATCCATTTTTTTAGTTTCTTTGTCCTCTTTTTTCTGTTTTAAAATGTTAGTTCCAATTGTGATTTTCATCCATTTAAGCATGACAATCAATAAATTTTGCAAAATGTCATTCTAATAGTGATGGTAAATTTTGCAAATGAGATCGTCTTTTTGCCACTTGTTTCTGAATGCGTTAACCTTCCCTGTCTCGTAAGCAATTTTATTAGAATTGAACCATTGGGAAGGAGGGATATGTAAGAATTGTTACTTAGTAACTGAATACTTTTAGTAATTATGTTAATGTGGGTAATTAAATGACCTTTGCCTTTTCCTTCCTCAAAGGTTAAGCCCGAAAACAACTAAAACAAGGAGTTCTCGGGCCGGGACAAAACGTTGGCTGAATTTGCTGTTGAAATTTCTCCAGGGCATGGTACATTTGTACTCGTTAGATATTGCAGAAGACATCCAAGGCGATCTGGTGATTACGTTTAGGCCAAGTTTATCCACTCTTCAAAACGAATGCTGTTGGTGAAGCGCGCCCAGTAGCAGGTGACAAATGTATCACTAGGGAAATAGAAAAGGATGCATGAGCAGCTGCTACAACACCGATGGAAAGCTTCATGGCAATCAATTAATAGATATAACCTCTTCCAAAAATTATCAATTTGTTACCCCCTTCATATACCCCTTATAATAGACCACTGGTTAACGTTCTTGTCAGGGTATAGATATCGGAACAAAGTGCTGCTGTTATGTTTTTCATAGATATGTTGTTAAATCACTTTTTTACTTTATATATGTCAAATTGTTGCAGTATTTTTTTTTCATATAAAAAATCTAGAAAAATGTAATCCAAACAAAGCTTCCCAACTAGAAGAGGAAATCAATGGGCTGCACCATTACCCCAGAAGTATAAGGGAGTATAATGCAGGAATTATCTAGACGACTACAATTACAAAAGAAATTGTGAACCGAGTTGACAGCATACATCCAACTGAGCCCGTATTTACACCACCACTTTCTTGTGCTTTGAGCAAATGCTAGCAAAAAATCACGGCAGTAATTCTGGAAAATGCCATCCATTGGTACTTTATATAAGGTACTTGCACTGGCAGTGTTTGAGTTTGACACAATGCAGAGAGGGGGCTTTTCCTGTTGAGAACGGACATTCTCTTATGGTGCTCGTGTCTGAAGTGATGCGGCTCTACCCAATGGTGAACTAAACTTCTGGAGTGGCTGTTGGCTATTAATGGCGGGAAAAGCCTGATTCAAAGGTTCATCACCAGCCCGAGAAGAGAAGCAAGAATCTGTGCATTATTCTGAAGTATCAGAGGAATAGCTTGTAAAAATTTCTGAGACCTTGCGTCTGCAATATCAGCCCACTGTCTTCCGGAAGAAGAAAGAGAAAATACAACACTTCCTGAACCAATCATCTACTGCTCGTTCATTCCTTCCCCAATTAAGCTAGAGGAGCGGAGTGCCATCAGCATTTATTTGGTGTAGAAGTGGAATACAAAGATTAAGATCCCTCGCATTATCTGGTAACAATCCCCTTAAATCTAGCGGAGGAGCAATCCCATGACTCCTCAGTGTTCTGCAATTGACTCTAAATTTCTCTGCTTGGATGTTTCGAACATTTTCACAGAAAAGAAGTTTAAATCATCTTCAGCTCATTCTGCAATGCAGCATAGTAATTTTCTCTTGTAGCTGAGTCTCCACTGGACAGCTAATATCCACCTAGAGATAGACCTTCTTGCTTTTCGAGGTATATGCAAGTTGTTGAAAGCTTCCTCATTAGTTGGTTCATGGCTTTCAAGGAAGGCACGAAGCTCAGTGCTACATATTGATGGCAATTTCTCGAGCTCCACTGGAAGAAAAATATCCTCAATTTTGCCAATGCTGCTCAGCAACAACTTATCCTGTTCAATTGATGTCCTCAGATTCTGTAACATATCTTGGCATTTCTTTGCTATCCACCCCATGACAGTTATCTCATTCTCTACTGAAATTTGCTTTCCCGAATAAGCAAGGTGTCCAACAGATCGCCGTTTGTTTGGAGGAGTTGCCCACAACCGCATAGCAGAGAGTAGGGCAAAGGATGGCTTCCCGTCTTGGTCAATATATAGCAATTCTTTGGGCCATGAACACAATGTATATATGTCAGGTTCCAAAGGGATAAAAGCCATGTCATTTGGGTTATCATCTAGAAGAAACCCATAGTGCTCAAGCAGCTCCAGATTTGTGTACATTCCATAACTTAGTAGAACCTGTTTGGGACACAAAGAAAGTAAAACTAAATTGCCAATAAGCCACAAAATAGTGTTTATTGAGTTTAAACATGAATGCAAAAGATACAAGGACATGGTAAGTGTTAATGAAGAGATATGTCGACTCACTAGAAGCTCTAAACTATCCCATACGGCAACAGCTAATTTGTTTTGGGTTCTCTCAAGATCACTCAAAACTACAGTAATAGTAGCCATCTCCACTTTCCAGACCATGATATTGTTTATAAACCTAATCTTTTGGTATGCACCAGTAAGACTTAAAGCAACCATTCCCAGATCCATTCCTTGCACCACAGTACACGCTGCTATAGAAAAAATTTTATTTCAATCTCAGGATGGCTACTGTACTATCTTTAGGTTAATCTATTCGCAAATGTCTCCAAAAATGCAATAACATTCTGACAAGATAATATCCAGACATAATGCAAGCTTTTGGAATATCAATGAAGAAATTTTCACATAAATGAATAAAACCAGAAACAAGAGAGAGCTTATTAGAAAGACTCTGAGCGCACGTAAACAAACTGAAACTGAAGACAAGTGTGGATGACATTCATCTAATCCTAAGTTTCAGCAATTATGAACTCTAAATCAGTTTAATTTTTTAAGAAGAATTAAGAGTCTCATGCTCATGTTCCTCTGCGTGTTCACGAGTTGTTTTGTACATGGAAGAATAAGTTATAACAGACAAAAGAAGAAGAAGAAAGAAAGAAAAGAAAGTTATGCTCAATCAGTTAACTTAAGAAGAAAGAAGACAAGGGGGCACAATTATGTGACTGATATCATACTTGAAGAAAGTAATAGAAGCCTATTCATAAGACATCAATATCAAGTTCTAAAAATGAATATTCAGACCACACAATGGGATGAAAATCATTAAATAATATAATAACAAACACATGTACATGTCATATGGAAAGACGTCATGGTAAACAAGAACTTGTAGCCATACCTGCTCCTTCTCTCTGTAGTTTCTCTTAGCATAGAAACAATAAGCACCAACATCATCCTCAAATCCAGCATCTGTTAATCTCTGTGCATTGGCTTCAGACAATCCTTCAGTCTGCATACTGAAACCATTTCCACAAGACCCCAAAGTCTTATTACCACACGGTTCCTCTGCAGGAGCGGCATAATTGAAGAAGTCTCCGACAGGACACAAGCACCCAGCTTCATCCCATGGTACGTGCATTGTGCGGGATGATATCTTCAAGTAGAACCAACTTAAAGATTATAAACTAAAAAGCAAAATATTTGTGTATCGCTCAGATATAATTACATGCTGTTGAAGTGCATTATCTACTTATTTGTCAGTAGAAAACCACTTAATGCTCTCCATATTTTTGCAAAGACCAACCTCAGTTATCTAACAGTAATAAAAGATGAAGTGATTTTCAAATTCAGAAGGATCAGATGAGACGAGATAATTACAGTTGCAGAAGCCCATAGCCATGCCTTAAAGGTTTGTAAAGCAGGCTTGAGCTTAAGTTCGGCCATAACTACACTAGCTTCTTGCCACTCCAACTTGGCCTTTCCTGCAGCCTTTTCTGCAGCCCAGATGGCATCATCCACCTGTAAGTTATTCAAAGGCTTCAGATAAAACATTTTACATCTGATACAAAATGCACAACTGGTATAAGTCGGGAGTCATTCTCATCTTAATGCAACAGTCTAATTAGCATTCATAGATTAGAAACTAACTTGCAAAGCTTGTATCTCAAATTGACCAAAACCTGCAAGCGTGTCATAACTGCGTGGCAACTGCTTTAAGTAAGGGTACCACCAAGAACTTTTCCCCTTATTGACTTCGTTCAAAAGTGCAATGGTTAATATCTGCACCAGATCAAACTTTGACAGCATTACTACATGTACATCCACCAAAAATCCGTCCTTTCACCACAACAACTCAAGAAATTAACAAGACTGAAAAGCTTTCCACAACAAAAGGGATTCGTCTACCAAGCCCAAATATCCAAGATAACACACTCCTACTTCACTATTTTGGTAATATTTCCGACTAATTTCGGAGGTATTATACTGAATTAACTACTCTAATAGTAGTATAGCAAGCCATCTAGCTCAAAATCCATTTGCTGAACCGAGAAAAGGAAAGGGAAAATCAAATGCCAACATCAAATAAGGAGTACTACCTGAGTGGAAGAAAGAAAAGGATGTGATTTTTTACAGGCAGAGAGCACTTGATCTTTGACCATCAAACTCTCGCTTGTCATCAAGGCTGCCTTAGGAACTCTTAGTATTAACTCCCCTTTTCTAAGTTCACGGGCCGCTGCTAAACCCCTTCTGCTTATTCACATTAGAACGGAAACAAGAAAACCTTAGAATTCTTGATCATATGAACAATATATCTACAAGTCAGAAGAGTAAAAGAGAGTACCCGCCGGCATCAGGAAAATGGGAGACAACTAGCGAGTGACCCAAGCAAGAAGGTAGAAAGGTGGAGTCTTTATGAGGGAGAGTAGAAGAAGAAGAGTCTGATATTCCCAACTCTGATGCCCAGTGCAGGAAGAATTCGAGGTTTGCTGCATCGCCTTCTTCTTTAGCCATTGCCTACTTTCCTTTCTTCCTATGTGCTCGAGAACTAAGAGGAAGGGGCCGAAGGGGTGGCCTTATGTCCAAGTTTGCAGTTGTTCGTGGGCCGAAAGTCAAAATGGGGAAATTATCCTTTTACTTACTTCGAGGTTCAAGCAATGAAAGTCGAAAGCAAAGTTCGACTGGTACTGGGCCACAGCCCTAAGAAATTCTTAAACAACGGATTGGTTTTGTGATGGACATCAGACAGGGAAACTTTTCTCTTGCACTTGTCTGTGCCTTTGTCTTCGGTCCGTTTGACAAATGAATTTTTTAGGTGTGTGTCTAAAATTTTATTATAATTTACTGTAAAAGTTGTAAAAAAAATTTTTGAAATGTGTAAATTTTTGGATATTTTGAAATATATAATTTAAAATTTTCGAAAAGTTTTTTAGGATTACTGCAGCTAAAGTTGTTAAAAAGTTTACAGCAAACAAATTTAGCCAAAAACTTGCTTGCCAAACAAGGCCTTTGTCTTTTGTTAGAAAACAAAAATGTTATAGCAATCCTATTTGTTTTCAATTGCTTAACATACCCTTTTTGTGGTTGTTTAAAAGCTTCATTTATATACTTAAGAAGGATTTGACAAAAAACATATATATATATATATATATATATATATATATATATATGTACCTAAGAAGGATATATTAACTCTAATCTTTTTCTTCTTTTTTTCTTGAAAGGAATAGTAAATCTGTCTAATTACGTTTATCCTCTTAACTAAGAGACACTAACATGCTCATGAAGATGAAATTATTGGGACTCTTACTTATTGGTTGCCTAGATTAACTAATTGGATAAGCTAAGTGTACAGAAAAAGTTCACAGAAAGGAGACCAGTTTGTTCACTTCACTCAAATTCAGACGGCAGGTTTTCGGTATGGCCGCCCAAATCTATCTAAACTTTGACGCTGCGTTGGACATACTCATTTGAAAATGACTTCAGTTTTTACCATTCCAAAACTTCTCTTTTCTACAAAGTCAAGAAGAGAAGAGAACAACGTTACGATGAATTTGTGCAAACTCACCAAAGAAAAGTTAGGCTCTGTATGCTTATTCCAATCTTATCAACTGCTTAAAGTAAAGCTGGTTCGAGGAAAATAGTTTATTCAAACAGCCAAAGCTACTCCTCCTACTTTTAATCAGTTTGACCTTCCGTGTTGATATCGCACCATCCTAAGTCCTAATGCCAACAAATATATGGGCTCCATTTCAATTGTGTCATTTTTGAAAAGTAAATTGAAAAGAAAACGCTGTAGTGCCTTTTGAAAGGTGATGTGCATACATTTAAAAAGAGTTGTAAAAGGAAAAATATAAATTAACAACGTGTGTAGAAAATATTTCAGAAGAATTACAAGTGATTGAAAGATAACATGTGCTGGCCTTTCCTTTTGCTTTAGGAAGGAGGATCACATCCGACTGTAGAAGTGTTGGAGGAACAGTAATCATCTAGATGAGACGAGTGCACTGCACTACCCTCCTTTCTTTCCCTTTTTTTTTTTTTCCGTTCGAACAAAATACTCCAGACCTTACAAATAGGCCGGCTAACTCGAACTCGATCCAAAAAAAAAAAAAAAATGTGTTACACCTAAGCGTCAATTGGATCAAGCAGAGTTTTTAAATCCAAACTAAATGCGAGTCGATGTTGAATCATGCTAGGATTAGTCCTGATTAGGACCCAACCCGTGTATGAGTGTGTGTATATATATTATGACATAAAATATTAATAATACATATTAATTTACAATAATTCATAATTATAAAATATATGTTATATATAATTTTGTATTTAATTGTAAGATTGGATGGAACCGATTTCAACCCGAAACTCGTATAATTTGAGCTAAAAATTCTAAAACGCACGTGCAATTTGTGAATCGAATTTGGACTTGAGAAAGCTCCACTCAAAAAACTCAATCTTACTCACAAAGGAAGGAAAGAAGGATAGAGGAGAGTTTAATCAACAATCCAAGGATCTCACAGTCACTTCGCATGTCTCGCTTGTGGACAAAGAGGCACCAAACGGCGCTAAGGCCGGCAGCAAAAAGAAAGGAATCCGAAGGAGTCAATTGTAGGCCGAGTCATTCCGTGCAATGAAAATGAGGGTGTTCCCCGTCCGGCAGGACAATTCTTTCAGAATCTTATCGCAGCAAAATATTACAGGCCTCAGGTCCCATCAAAGAGCAAATGGACGGACGCAATTACTTCCAAGCCACTGTGGCCTTCAGTTGTTTTCGTTCTCGTTCTTTCTCCTCGGTTCGAAGTGCTTCCCTAACCAACGCAAAACGGAAACATAGGACAAGACCTGGCTATTCTCAACTCTCTCAAGTTCTTCTTCGTTACGTAGTTAGATCATTAAATTGGACGTTGATTGATCTGCACTCCTTCGTCTCGTAATTCTTTTCCGTGTAAAAGTGAATATTTTCGCGAGCAAAGTATGTTGTATGTCCGATTTTGTAGTGCTAGTTTCTTATCCACGTAGCAATGGTAAATAGTGCTAGCTTGCTGCTCATCGTGGAATTTCAATTCTTGTGCAAGTGGTTAAAGCACAACCAAGGGAGGAATTTAGGTTTAGGGTTGAAATTTTTCAAACTTTTCTATATATATATATATATATATATATATATATATATATATATATATTTATATATTTATATATTTAACTATTTGCACCCTCAAGTTCTAGAAGATCACGCCCCCTCTTAAAAAGTTTGAGAATTTTCAAAAATTTCTTTTATACACACACACACACACACACACACACATATATATATATATATATATATATATATATATCAAAGAGGCTTTTGAAAGAAAAAATTTACATGTGTACTTTTCGCCTCCTCAAATTTATATTTTTTAGTTTTGCCATTGAGAACAACACAATCAAATTGCATTATATCAAATAAGATAGGGTTAAAAACAAAAAAGCCCCCTGTGATATACCTAATACACAGAAAAACCCCCTAGTTTCAAAACACACAAAACGACATCTCATGTCTTGAACTAAATTGTAAACTAACAGAATCCGGTAAATTTAACGGAAAACTTAACAGCATTCGGTAAATTTAACAGTAAACTTAACGTAATCCAATAAGTTTAACAGCTGAGACCGTCATTTTCGTTAAATTTAACGAATTCTGTTAGTTTATAATTTAGTTCAAAACATGAGATGTCGTTTTGTATATTTTGAAATCACAAGAGACTTTTTTATATATTAGATATATCACAGAGGGCTTTTTTGTTTTTAACCCAATAAGATAATAAGCAAGGTGCATTTTTTGGTGTGTAGTATCAGTAGATTAGAAAGACAAAAAGTAACTGCTTATGGTGCACCACACGACATGAATACCACTCAACTTATTTTTATTGTTACCAAACAAACCTTTTATCTATTCTAAGTCTGCATTCTATGCAAAATCGCATTTATCGTATAATAAAAGTTTTGAAACAAACCGTCGAGACTCCTTACTTGCACGCAAAAAAGCAAATCTCTTCCATTTAGACTTAGCAGGTGCCGATGGAAATTGATACATTTGATAATGACGAATACCTGTTGGAGAAGAGTCAAACACGGTACTTATGGGCTTCTTCTATTATTGTTCGACGAATAATGGGACAGCCAAACCCTCCTTATCCCTTCACTTGGTCATCAAATCTTCTTCTTCTTCTTCAGTATACTCGCCTCGTATTGTTATTTGTCAATAACTCCCGTTTGCGTGGTTACTAACAACAACGTAAATAATAGTTTTTTTAAAGAATATAATTAAGTAAAAATTCTATCATCCTTTTAAGGACTTATTTCTTTAATTTGTAGCTCTAAATGATGCTTGTGATCTATAATTTAAATAATTACGATTATTACAATTTAAATGCTTAAAAAGTTTATTTCATTAGCTCACGGAGAATTTGATGTGAGAGTGTGAAACTCAAAAGACATAGAATTTTTTATTAACTAATTGATGAATTAGGTACAGGCGTGTAAAAATGAATTTAATCAAATCCAACGCCCGAGTATTCAAACTTGTTTATTTATTTTAACGAGTTTGAAATTTGAATTGTTCATTTACTGAATCGAGTTTGAACGAATATTTTTATCGAATTTAAATGTTATAGAATACAAAACACAGTTCAAACTTGATTTGGTTTGCTAGCAACCTGAGTTCGACCGATCTCTTATTAAATCAAACTCAATTCGAGTATCGAGTAGTTCGGTTCATCTTTCAACCCTAATTAGGCGGACAGTTCAAAGCAAACTTTTCATCCTTTAGAAAAGGGTAGAATTTTATTTATTGGATCAAGATACGGGATCATTTATTTGTTTAGTTCAATTTAAATTAAAGACTAATTAAGTGCAGAATTCTAAGAAGCGTGTAGAATCATGTCTACTTATTCTTTTGGTAAAATGACTATGTACGAAGAACTCAAACAACTGGTCAATTGTAGCAAGTAAAGGTCTCTGTATCAATTTCGAATATACTAATCATATTTTTGTGTTTGTACACAAAATACTTCAAAGTGAGACCATCCTTTTTTTAAGTAGCAAATGATGACATAGCTACGTCTCCATTATTTCTCCAAGAATTCACATGAAATTCTCCAAACTTAGGTTGATAACCAAATGGAAATCTTCAACCACAGACTTCCTATTTAAGTGAATGTGATGCATACCATGAGCTAATAGAGCACATGCATGGTGCATTAAATTATTAAATCCCAGAAAAACAAGAAAAAGACACTTCCCACACCCAAAATCAGATCCCATAACTCTTGATGTTAAGCATTGATTTTGTTCCCCTGTGGGCTGCAGCATTTTTTTTGTCTTTGTTTTTGCTTTCGTAATTGCTTTCAAAAACCAAAATGGTGAAAACATACCACTTGCAAATTGTCTGCACTCAATCGACAGTCATGGACCATATTTTTTTCAGAAAGGCACCCAAAAAGTGAGAGAAAGTGCAAACTTCTACGTGTCCAATAGGGAGTCCTCAATGCCTTGTATACCAACGTGTG